GAAAAGATGAAAGAAAGGAGATAGAAAGGAGATAATGACAAAACATTTTCAGTCTGCTTCATCACCTGTAACGAGATGAAAAAAGAACAGCACAACCGAAAGACATGGTATGAGACGTACAATAAAGCAACACCTTGAAACTATCGCTAAAGTAATATTATTAAGTCTGACATGTACTCTGTGTTACCTAAAGATATGAATGTGGGGTTTCTGTATGGAACTGAATCTCTGAGTACCTGCCCTCAGATCTTAATAAAGAGAATTAGAAGAAGCCTTTTGGTGTCACCTTGGTAAATGGCAGAGCTCAGTCTTAATGCAATACTTTTCTTCATGAGTGACTATGATTGTTTTCTACTTTCTGCTACTTTAGATTGGCAATTAAATGTAAAATAATTGCAAATATATGTAATAATGTGTTTAGACTAAAAAAGAGATCTTATTCTTAAGAAATAGGTGCAGTACAGTTTGTCCAATTGGCGTTGACATATGATGACGTTATAAGAAGGGGCAGGGCCCAGATCAGATCTGACTACCCGAGTAGATCTGGTACCTACTCCGGCAGTAGCATCCATGTGTACTTCCATAAACACAGAGTACTCTTCCTACTTGTGACGTCATTGCCCTCTTCTGTGCATGCTGGACACTTAAGTTGTGTAACTGCAGTTCTTGCAGGAGATCACATAAAAGTCACTTTTTGGGAAATTTGAACAACCACACAGTACAATCAGATTTTACAAAAACATCAGAATTGAGCATCAAGGCCTGGAATGTGAACCTAGGCTTAGATGTGACTCTCACAAACACATTGTATGAGCTCATTTGAGTGTGTAGGGTGGGGCATATATCTAAAAATTTCAGGATACCTGCCCTCAAGGAATAAAGTTCTGGGCCACTGCTGTGACATATTTTGGAGCTAAGCTGTTTAATGATTTATAGAACAAAAAAAAATTCAGTCTGTTTTCTAAGAGATAGGGAGCAAATGTTACAATTTCAAAACTGGGGTAATGTGTTCCACTTTCTAAGTTTTAGTGAGGACATGGGCAGTAGCATTCTCGATCTACTGTAGGTGTCTGATCATCTTTTTAGGGACCCTCATGAAGACATTGCAGTAATTGATTATGGCTAATCCGGACCAACCCGATTTAAAAAATTTATAAATTACAGCATGTTGTCGGATGACAGTGTCTAACTTTACTTGCACCGTTTCTCCTGTTAATACGGTAAAGCCGTCCGGAGCGCCGGGACCAGGCTATATGTTAGCCAATGAGCTGTGTCAGTTTGGGTCACTCCTTCGAGCCCCTTCTAGACACAGAAGGCAAACCTGTGGCAAGCCGGGTGATGGGAAAGAAGGACAAGACGAAGAGAAATGGTGTGCTCAAAGATGACCCTGCACATTTTGAGTATGTTACTGCTGTGAAGCAGGATTCTCCACCATGAATATAATCAAAAATAAATATCGATCCAGGCTCAAAATGAGCACCTTGATATGTGCTTGAGAATGGCTTTGTCGCCATTCAAAACCAGGTTTAAAGCCTTTCAGGGCAGCTTAAAGCCCACTGCTCTCATTGAGCCAGGAAAAAGGAAAAAATATATTTTTATATTTTATTATATTTTATAAAAGAAGTGTATGAACTGACGATTCTCTACTTCAAAAGACACTTTAGAGTTTAAAATGGAAAAAACATTTTTTATATATATTTTATTATTTAAAAATTCAATGTATAACATGGATGCCGTAAAACCTGCTTTTTATTTCAGTGTTAAATTCTGTTTAAAGTAACAGATTATAATTAAAAATGTCTCTAGACCTTTACTGGTTGTTGATTTTCTTTATTCGGACCCCGCAGATTTTTAATTGATTACCCTGGATTCTACTAAACATGAATGCATGATTTAGTTTTTCAAGGTCCTGCTGAGATGTTAGACATGTAATCCTTCTTTAGGTGATAGAAGGTTGACTTTGTTACTTTCTTTACGTGCCTCTGAAGATTCAGGTCTGAGTCCATCACTAAACCCAGATTTTGAGCCTGATTGGTGGTTTTAGTTATATTATTTGAAGCTTTTGAATGGTTTTCCTTCTATTTAAAAATTATTACTTTTGGTTAAATGCTGGTAAACTGACATATTGATTTCTCCTACCTATTTACCAAGCACATTAATGGCTTCATAGTCATATGGTGACATCATAATGTATGGCTGTGTGTTGTCTGGATAGTTATGGTATCTCAAAGTTAGGAGGAGTATGTAGATATTTATAGGATGGACACTAAAATGGACCCTTGGGGAACGCCACATGTGATTTTTGTTGTCTTCAGATATTCGTTGTAATGTATATCAAACTATGAACATAATTGATTTATGCTTATCTTGAAATAAGATATTGTGAATTGGTAATATATAAATAAGCTGGATTTAATTAACTTTATGGCTATCATGACTTCACTAGAACTGGGAATGGTGGAATGGCGACCATCTTAAAGACCTTAAAATGAAAGGACATTTAAGCAGTCCTTAATGATTGGCGAATACAATGTCTGAAGTGAAATCAGTAGAACTGATACTTTTTGTTTTCCTAAGCTCCAGTTCAGTTTGTCGTTACGTTCGACCATAAACTGATAAAATAAAGATGTAATGTTGGCCTCTTTGTGTTATGGTTTAAAGAGTATGACTTGAAAGACTACCAAAGAATTTTAAGTGTCTGAGCTTTTGACACTCTGGCTACTTAGCTTCCACATGTGTGTCTGTTTAAGCTCATCAGGCGGGGAACTTTGACTAGACGACAAGATTTAAGATTCTGATTGGAAAAATAAACCACCTCTGATTTAGAAAGGAGTAAAAATTCAGTCATGATTAACACCACATGTCAGCTTGTCATCATGTAACACAGCTTTGCAAGTTTGGTGTTTCTTTCTTGCCCAATGGCAAGTCATGTGTAGCTGCTCTCATGTATCTATCAAATACAACAAATGAGTTCATTTTAATGTTTATTCCTGAGCTTGTATAGTCAAGGCCACAGTGGTCAGTCCAGATGACTCAGTCCATAATGGTTTAGTTGCTTCCAGAAACTTTTTGACAGGTCTTTTTCATTCAAACATCAACAGTTTGAATTTCATTGTTTTCTGTGAAAGTTTCACCCAAACGTTGGAAATGAGGAATGTGATTAAGTCAGTGAGTGATACCGATGCTAGAAAACAGTTGATTGATCCTGCACTCAGTGGGATTTGATATACTGCAGCACTACAAGTGTATAAACTTTCACATAAATGGGTTCAATACGGAAACCATTTTCAAAGTTTTTTATAACTAAAAGTTGCCTTTTATTTCAATATGCTTGACTTGCTTAACTTACTTATAGCTAGATGTTCCATACAGGATTTTGTTATCTATACAAGCTTAAAAGAAGTACAGAGATGCAATTTAATTCCAGAAATTTTAATTTTATTTTGATTTTTGAGAACCTGAATAAATTACATCGCAACATTGTTCCACCTAAATACTAGAAATACTACAGATATTATTCTTTGTTGATAAGTGATGAAAATATACCTCCGATCAAAATATTCTCAACAGGTTGAGCGTATTTTTACTGAAACTTCCATTAGAAAGCAACTGCTGTAATCTGTGTGCAGTGATATTTAAAGTTTTACTTTTCCTTTACTTCTAGGTCTTTTTGTTTAAAAAAATCTGCTTTGCCTAAATGTTTTTATAAAGCTCGAGTTGTGGTCAGACCTGTGTACGTAATCATATGATTGTTTAGACACATTAAACAAAGAGCCCAGCTTATAAAGCATGTAGAGCAAAATGGTTATTGTAGCTGTGATTATGAAAACAGAAAAGCGATTGCAAACTAAATGCTGCCACCTGTGGTAATTTATTTGTATTACAAATACCTTTTTTCTTCTTTGAGTAGTCCTACTTTATTAGTTTCTTTATCTGGCTTTTCATTTATGGAGGACCGATCCTGCCATAATTAAAAATAAATAAATGCTCCAAAAATAAATAAGCATACAATTACTTCCCCACTAAAAATACAATAATTAAGATAAGATTAAGACATAAATGTATATATCTCTTTTAATTAGCTTCTTTGTTTTTTCCCCTTTGTAATAATTACTTTATTTATTTATTGTCCGTTATAATCTTCAACTTTACTTATTTATTGCTTATTTCTTTAAGTATTTATTTTTGTGCATGTTATATTTTTTTCTGGTTTATTCTTTCCTTGTATTTTTTTACCCTATTGATTTCTTCCATGGCCTCATTATGCAGGGGGGGGGGAGGGGGGGGTGTATTAGAGGGTTAACGTTATAAGTATTGACTTTATTATTTTTCGTTTGGATGCTCTGACAGACCGTGTGTTTCAGTTAGCGGCGCATGTGGACACAGATGTCGACAATGCAGTTTTTCAGAATCCGGAGGAAGCGGCCCATCTTCTTATCTCAGTCAATAACGACCGCGGTGAAGTTGGTTTGAAGTTGGATATTCAAGCTCTGCGGAGTCAGCGGGATCTAGCAAACGTTTGATCCGACTGAGGGACTCCAATAAATTTTACTTTAATCAAGGCAGGATTGGTCCTCCATATATTTATGAAAGCAGAAGATGAAGTGAGAACGTATCATTAATAATGACAAGCATAAAAAACTGGGTTTTTTACATGAGCCATTTTATGATGGCAAGAAGGCTGCAGCTTTTCAGGGTTGTTTTAAGTTAAATTTCAATCAGTTTATTTATGTAGCCCAATTCACAACTCTTTTATAGTCAACTTCAACTAATCATCCAGACTGAAAATTAAAAAGTTTCATATTTAAGGAAACTCAATAGTTTGCATTGATTCATTAACGGACTATGTATTTATAAGATAACTTTAATTAAAAAAAGTTTTTTTTTAATAAACTGCAATTAAAAAAAAAGATATGGCGGACCATCGGGGGACAGTATGAGTGCCACACAGCCAATCCAAAACCTGGAAACAAAACACATGACTCTGAAACAAGGAAATAAACAAGGTTGCTGCGTTTGATCCTAAAGCCTGTTAGTGTCAGCATTATTCACTCTGTCCATTTTTTTGATGGAATATATTTGCCATTTATAGGAAGAATGAGGTCGGCTCTGCTTCACGTAATGGCGATTTTCATATTTTGTGTTGCTCTGGCAAATACGAACCTGTTCAGTGAAGTTGAAGTGGACTTGAACTATGAGCATTATGCAGAAAACAGGGCTGAAAACCTGCCTGCGTTTTTAGCAATGCCCTTCAACTGTGTGGTTAACCTTGGTTATATCTTCATGGGACTGTACTGGCTGCTCTGGAGCAAAGCCGCTAATGAAACGGAGCAAAGCTGCTACCTGAGGCAAGTCTTTGCCCTCATGGCTGTTTTTTACGCACCGGTACAGTGGACGCGCCTCGCAACGCTCCGGCGCGCTCCCGCGGTGCTGGACCAGTGGCTCACTTTGCCGATCTTTGCGTGGGTTCCTGCGTGGATTGACTACATAGAGCGCGCGCCAGGGAAGTGGCGCCCGGCACGCGCAGCGGTCATTGAACTCTGCTCCGTTGCCAGCTACGGACTGGCCCTTGCTCACGCTCAAGGCTTCGAGGTGGCACTGGGATGTCACGTGGCCATAGCTCTGTACACAGGGATTCGCGTGCAACTGACGCGCGGGGACGCGCGCACAATGGGCTACCTCCAGCTGGCAGTGATGTCCTGTGCCGGATTCGTGGTGCTAAAGCTGTTGGATCACTGGCTGGCTCAGCACTGGATCTTCCAGAGACTGACGGGACACTTCTGGTCCAAAGTGTGTGACGTGCTGCAGTTTCATTACAGCTTCTGTTTCCTGACTGCATTAACAGACAAGGCACAGAGGAAATCTGCAGCACAGCGGAAATGATCAGAATAATGAATCTCTTGCAGTAGTGCCTTTATTGTCATTATAGAAATGTGTGAGATTAAAAAGATGCTCCTCAGCAGTTGAGGGATACCAGTAACATACGGTACATAACACAGCAACTTCACCAACATTCATTTAAACCTGCAGATAGCTTACCTCCTGATTAACCTCCAATAGGCCTTAATCCTAATAAAACAGTCATGTTATAGGCTTCTCTTTAATGGTATCATTTCTGGTTTGTAATAACTCTTTACATTTTTCATGTAGCATCAGTTTAGAAAGAAGTTTATATATATATATATATACACACACACGTGTGTGTGTGTGTGTGTGGAAAGTGTCTAAATTAATAGCACCACAGAAAATGGATGAATGGATGGATAACATTTATCATAAAATTAATTTTGAGGGTAAAACGAGTACAGACTTCAGACTTTAACATTAAAACTGGTTGTGTGTGATCAGAAGGAATTAACTGAAAACAAAGTTTATCAGGATCTTCTCAACCTGCCATCCCCAGCAGAACCATCCAGTGCATCGCTGGACAGCAAGTCCAGTCTGAGATTTTCACTTCACTTCTATGAAAAAGTGGGTGCTCCTCAAGGTAATATTGTGTGGTCTAACCGATTTATTTGGTTCTTTTTTGTTTTCTAAGCTAAAAACCCTGCGGCTTCTCCCTGTGGTCTCTTTATTTGTCCTAGCTTGCTCCACACTGACGAAGCTCATCATCCAGTAATCCTGTAATCATGGCCTCACTTTGAGGCCATGGCTGTTACACACAAAAATGTCTGTCAGGTTTATTTTAAATAGTGCTGTTAAATCCTCTTCTTTCCCCGAAAAAAGTCAAAGTCAGACACTCTACAGTAAAGGAGATACAAATGGTAACTGAACTTTCCTTTTCAGTTTTATTTCTTATAAGTCTTTGCAACAGAAAAAAAACTTAACTCATTACAATAAAAACATTTGAATGGTTGAAGCTTATGATTTAAGTGTAAACCGCAGCCTTAGAAAAAACAACATATACCTATAAACTATTTCTATATAAACACTTGTGTGGAATGGATGTTCCTTTGGGCTTAAACATATTATGGGATAAATTATTTCATCATATCTAATCTACATTAGGGTAAAACGATGTGCAATATTTAAAGTAGAACCATGAAATTAGACGAGCGTTCATGTTTTAATAAGCTTCTCATTTATACAGTTTATTTGTAGGAAGTTGTCACAATGAAGTATTTCCATCTATGAAGCTGCTTCAACAAGAGCGCAACAGTTCTCAGCTGCCTCTACTTTCTTCCATTGCTTTATTGATCTTGAGTTCCTTTTCCACTTTCTGTCTGTAGTGAAATATGAGTGGGTGTGTGGATAGATAGACCACGCCAGTTTGCCAACATCTGCTTTAGATATTTCAGTACTTCTTCCTACAAACAACAAACGCCACATGGGCCGAACCATTCTAGGCTTCATTTTCACAGAAAGCGTTTCGGCCGTCCAGTCTGTAGGTGCAGATTTGTTTCTTCCTTTGTGTCATCTGCAAAATTAGAATGGGAAGAGTAAAAATAAGCACAGCCACACCAGACCTTTGTTCCTGTGTTGCTAATGTTGGTTAAAATAATAATTTTAACATCCATCATTCTGTCAGGGGAGGATTTTAAATATCTGACCTGCTGCTGCGTGTTAGCTAAACATTTTCTTTAGTTTGGAAAAGAAACCTCCTTCCTCCTTCTGTTTGTCCTGCGGCTCCTCCTTAGATGAGGTCGACTTTGTGCTGGAGTCTGAGGTGCTGCTGCCCCCTCCTGGACAGAGAAGACATTTTATTAGGGGAGGGACCAACATGGCAGATCTCAACAACATTGGATCACTAAAGCTTGATTTGGACCAAATGGTTTACCTCTGATAAGAATTCAAAAGATAAAACTGTCAAATGTCCTTTTAAAGATTGTTCACTATCATACATCACTGGTTATACACTATTGCTTAGTGTAATAATGTCTCAAAACAAACAGATGTGTTTTATAAATTGTAGAAGGTTGAATATTATACCAAAGAAGGCAAATTATTTCAGTACGAAAAATCTGGCTAACAATTCGGAAAAGCAACTTTAACTAGACTTTAAAACACAGGGACATTTATTGAGGACAGTCTGAAACATCAGATCAAAGTTTCTGATGCTTAATGCTTTTCATTTTAGTGTGGAAAATCTGCAAATAGAAGCATCATATTAACTGGTCTGTCATGCCTCTAACTTAACAATCCTGCTTGTTTAATATTTTTATTGCAGATTCTTCCAAATATCCAACTCCCCCCCCCAAAAAAGGGTGTAGCTGGGTGTTGGAATCGATATACTAGTCAGTTAAAAGTCATTTTAGGTTTGAGACGACATTATACAGGTTTATTTATACTAATACATCGGAACCATCTTACTGACCTGCTGAAGGGTTGACACCGTTGACAGACCCCTGAACATCGGTCTCCTCCTCTGCATAGCTTAGCAGCAGCGAACGCTGCCTTCGAGTTAACTTCCTGCAGGAAAAGGAGACAACATGAGAAGGCAGTATGAACCAAATGAAACCAATTCTCACCAAACCTCTCAAAATATTAACATGTTAATGAACCATTTTTTTTAATATTTCTAAGTCAGGGTGACATATTAAAGAAGGCTATAATAATGATTAAAATTATTCCTAAGTTCATTGTATTTATTTATTTAAAAACACAGACCTGGAAGGATTGTGAATAAAAATGACCCAAAGTTTATGTAATAAATAGGGAACTCTAAATGTATTCCTACAATGACAGATATAGATTTGAAGCATCAAATGAACAGGCAAAGATGATAAAATATGTAAGAGGAAAATTGATTTAAAAAGTAAATAAATGGTAGGTTGAAGCATGTTATTTAACCCCCTCTATGTAAAGCTTTTTGCACATTTCCACTGGTGTTTATGCTGCTTTATCTTTAATGATAAGCTCCAAGTTTTCAGCTTTAAATGCCTCCTTTCCATCACCTTTATCTCCCATCATTGATTACTACCCGATTCAAGTCAATAATCTGATCAACTACAGAGTTGATATTACTTTGATAAGGAAGACGAAATCAAAATTGAACGGAACAATGAAGCTTGATGGGGGTCAACACACATGTACGGATCTTACGTAGGCACTTTAATCTTGATGTGAACATAATGATCTCCATAACTGTAGCTGTTCATCCTCCGAATGCCCTTCCCCTGTAACCGGATCACCTGATCAGCCTGACATCCGGAAGGGATCTGAAACAGACAACAGTTGGGCTGATCAAGTCTATGAGATCAGAGTATACAACCATATAAGGAGTACAACCTGAGCTTTATTTTTTTAAATTATCACCCACAAAGAAACTGTGTATATTGGGGGAAACAGAGGAAAGCAGATTGTAACCATACCACATAAAACACACAAACATGATAGCAAAGAGTAAAATCAAAGACAGTTTAACTGGCACATTAAAGTCCAATGTGTGAAAAGCTCCACAGATATTCTTAATGGGTAATCTGTATATGGCTCACTTACCGCTATGCTGATGGTCTCATACAGGCCCTGTGTTGTGGCTGTGCCTCCAAGTATGGCCTGGGCTACAGAGATTAAAGCATCTGAGTGGATGTCTGCTCCGTTTCGCCTAAATACAAGGCTTTTCTGGACCTGCAAGATTAAATGTATCACAGTGTACAAATCCTGCATTGACTGACGCACTTTATTATAGAAAAGCAAAATATGATTCATTATATAACAGCAAAAAAGTTTTTAAAAAGACATCGGTCTTTGTTAAAAACTTACCCTAAATGTTATAAGAATTTCTTTTGATCCTACTGCCATGCGCACAGTCTGACCATTTTCCACACCTGCAAAAAAACCAGCACATTAGAGGCTTCAAACTTGATGCTAGCCTAGCTGAACACGAGCTAAACACAGGCGAGGAATCTCAAAAGAAAGGTTTTTTCAATCAAGACAAAGATTTACAAACATATTAATTTCATTTATTGATCATCAGAAGGTGAGAACCCACCTGCAGGAACCGGCACCGTCACAGTCTGCCTCTTTTTGGTTTGGCCCGACCCTCGGCACAAAACGCAGGGCGTGTTTATGATGCTCCCTTTCCCACTGCATCGCCGACACGTGCTGCGCATCATGAAAGGACCGGTGCTGATGGTCTCCTACAGCAGGATGGACAGATAAGTTCTCAGTGATGGTTCAACCTGAGGGGCTTAAAGGGCTCTGAATGTAGTCCAAAACTCACCACACCTGTCCCGTTGCAGTACTGACACTGAGACACCCGAGTCCCCGGCTCATTGCCCCTCCCATCGCACCTTGGACAGTTGTCGTCAATGTTCACACTCAGCTGCTTACTTGCTCCCTTCGCTGCCTCAGAAAAGGTGAGCTCCATTACATACTGTAGGAGAACAGAGGAGGATTCACTATAAAGCACATTTTAAAACAATTATTTTGTTTAATGTTACTAAAAAAGTTATTTTCCACAACTTAAGCTTTAAAGGTAAGGACACAGTGGATCTCAAAAGTATGCAGAAGACTCATGGTGAATCATTTCAGAACTTAAAGTGACTTATTTATTAGATACCTGGTAAAACTTCACTAAAACAAATTGAAAGGAGGAGTATATGTACTTTATTAGAAAGTTTGACTCTCCTTGAAGGATTTTGAAGACTTTTGCTCATTTACATTCTTTTCTGAGGCCATAGTGTACAGAGAAAGAACATCATTTCACTGTACACATTTAACAGTTTGCAGAAGGGTATAAAGCACATTTCACCAGCAATCAATACTCAGTGGAACAAAGTAAGGATGGATAGAGATAACCTAAGCTAGCCAAAAGTCCTGAGGGTCTCCTGAGGATGAGCCTCACAATCTTTACAGGACTACAGCAGGGCAGACTAGGGCTCCAACTAGGCCTGCAGCCATCGAATCTTCCTATTTTATCATTTATTCTTCTCGAATAATCAAAATGGAGAAGAAAAAATTAAAAAGATTAATTTAGATGTCATATGTAGTTTATAGTGGTTTAGATTCTTTAAAATGCATGCAAGGTGCAAGACAACAATATGAGCCAGAATTTTTTTCATATGGCACCAGCATGAATTTAATATCGCTTGCAGCCCAGCTCTTTCTTTCGGCCTTTTTCCCAGTTAAATTTCTCGTGATTCCCTTACTAGTGTATATGACCAGGAAAACCCCTGCTCTAGATAGTGATTCTAGGGAATGACTTGACAATTGTTCTAATAATAGATTAATCACAATTAACCTAATTAATCCTTTCAGCCATAGCTCCAACTATTAATCATTTGGATAATCAATTAATTAGTTGCTTATTTTTTATATATATAATCAATGGTATAGCAAAATGTAATTAATAGAAGATTGTTTTACCGAATTAAATCCAGTTGAAGCCTAAATTATGCTACTTGAGGAGATCTAACTGGAGCATATATACAGACAAAGAAGGTTTTCCATCCTAAATGTTTATACATTTTGTGCAGTTTTGTTTTAATTAATGCTGTAAGTTGGTTGTTCTTTCATGTTTTACAGTATATATATTTCAGTTAATTATTAAACAAATACTTAATTAGATGAAAACTAAGCCCAGTTTTTTATTTTGTCCTCAAATAGATCTGCTTATATGCATACTGCAGAATATTTACCAAATCAATGATGGAAAAGGTTTGAGAAGCATTCAATATGGTCTCATGTTTTATATCACAAAAAAACGTCCCCCCCCCCTTTAACAATGAGAGCCACTGCATCTTGGTATTTAATCCAATATCATTAGTTACCTCAGGCCTTTGGTCAAACATGTTGTTAATGTCTCCAAAGCCCATCCCCCCAGCAAACTCTCCAAAAATCTTTCTGAAGAGCTCTTCAGGATCAATAGTGGTCCCCCCTGCCCTATAGTACTGCTGATGGCCCGCTCCACTTCGACTCGGGTCAAAGCCTGCTGCTCCGTAGGTATCATACTGTTTTCTCTTCACCTCGTCGCTCAAAACCTGGAGAAATAAACACATGAAAGGGATAAATTGTTAACTAAACCTGCAAGCTCTCTTTTCAATAACTGAATTCTAAATATGTACTCTAAAGAAATGGAGACATGTTGTACCTCATATGCTTCAGCCAGCTTGGCAAACTTCTCTTTTGCCTCTGGATCATCTGGGTTTGTGTCTGGATGGTACTTTTTCGCCAGCTGAAAAATGATAAATGTGTAAAAGTAACGGCAAAAAAACACAATTTAAATGTAATAACCTTTGTATTAAAGTTTGTTTTAGGGTTGGAAAAGTGTTTGAATGTGTTTTAGACCTGATAATAAGCCTTTTTGATTTCTTTCTGGGAGGCACTGCGAGCGACACCCAAGATCTCATAGAGGTCCTGCTTGTTTTGCAATCTGCAGCTGGTGTGGAAAGAGTGGCAGCTCATGCCATGGGGACATTTCACGCCTGTAATGGAGCATAAAAAGACAAAATAAAAATAAAAGGTGATTAAAGGCTTTTATTGTGCATTTAAAAAAAAACAAAAAAACCTATGAATGTTTAATACTTCTACAGAAACATTATCAAACTGATTTGGAAGCCTCCCGATAATAGAAATAAATAACCAGATTCCTAAAAAACATAAAAAATGGGAACCATTTGAATGATTAATTCTCTACATATGGCAAACCATAATTAATAACTTAATTATCTTATATATTTATTAATGATATATGCACATATATACATTTAGAATAGAAAATCTCTTTATTGTCCCACAATGGGGAAATTGTGGTGTTACAGCAGCAAAAAATGAGAGTAAAAGTGGTCACACAAATGTGGACCTTACAAAAGTGAATAAAAAAAAAATTATGTTGCCACAACAAATGGACCTATGAGTGCTTTGATCAAATTACAGTGACATAAAGTCATATTTTTAGTCATGTCATAACATGTAATGAGCAGACAGCTTTATCCTATATCCTGGTATATCTCAAGTCACAAAGAGCTTGTTTAAACAGAAAATGTTTTTGTATTTTTATTTATAGATCCCTAGATGTTTGTACATTACATTTCCAGGGCTGTCAACTCTCACCAATTGGGAGTGAGACTCACCCATCCCAGTGTCATCACATACTCTTATTCCATATTCCCAATTTCTCACCCTAAAAAGCGAGACCTTAAAACTCAGATCTGTTCCACCTATTTATGTATAAAAATACCATGATGATCAAAATCCAGTCTGCGTTGTTAATTTAACAATGCTAACACATGAGGACATGCCAGGTTCATATCGAGTCCAGATTACCACTGTGCCAGGTATTGAAAAAAGACAGTTGTTACGAGGTATGTCATTTTAATTTTTATCTTGTCTCATCTGGACTAGGACAATTCTCTTTGTAAATTATTGAAGATTTTTAAGCAATCTAGTGCTTGAGTAAATATGAATAAAAAATACAGCAGCTAGCCTAAATTATTGAAGTGGAGACTGAGGGTAGGATAACATTAAATGGTTTGTTTCTCTTTACCTGGTTAAAATCCCAGTTTAAGTCCATGTTTTACTCACAAGTTAAATAATTATTGCACAGTCTAGTTTAATAATCTCCTGTTGGCATTTAGGAGTAATTAAACCAACACAAATATCAATTCTTAAAGCTTCCAGGTTTGCCTCTCAAACCCATAGGAGGTCCACAAAAAGAAAAAGAATCATTACTTTTTATTTTTCTAAAGATCAGCCACCCAAGAAAAGACCAACCACATCCAGAGAGGATGTGCGGAACAACTCAGTTATCCTGGATTCATAGAGGAGGAACCACAACGATGTTCTTCTTTTATTATTACTTATCATATTCATTTATCTTTATTTTGTTACATTAAATATGTTTAAAAACTTAATTTCCATCACACCTTCCAAACTGAAACATCCAGAGAAGAGCTGTCTCCTGTCTTGGTGAGTTTTTATAAAATCTACAGCCTCCTAGAAAGTCTGAATTATTTAACTGTTTTTTTCAAATGGTATGAAAACTAATCACATAATGAAAAAAGCTTTTTAATCCTTAGCCTATAACAAAATACTCATACAGTGTAGTTTGCATAGGCTTCGATTGCTCTGGTTCCAGTATCCCAGCCAGTAATCCAGTAATAGCTTATTAGTTTCCCATTGTTTAATTTGATTGAACTGCAGATAATAATTAATGAACTAAGTTGTGAAATTCTTAGTTTAAAGTATATTTAAGATGCAAGTATTTTAGTGGAGCCCTTTCTTCTTTACTTCAATTCTCAAAAAATCACCAGAATGTAGAAAATAATGTATATTGTGAAAAAAAAGTGTTCCACATAACTACAGATCACTTATTGTTACTCAGTAATATTTACTGTGCTATAAAAATGCCCCATTTTGCCACTTTGTTTCAGTTCAATCCTCTGAAGCACCTATCCTCATCTCACCCTGACAGGGTTTCCTGTCCAAACTATTTCAAAATCTCCCCCCAAGGTTTGGTGAAAAGTTGGCAGCCCTGCATTTTCTGCAGATGCAGAGGGTTTCTGATCTGCTCTGATGTCAGAGGGGTTTAATGGCCAGCTGTAGAGGTGATGCAGACCCTTCAGGGTTTTCTACCAGAACTTTCACAGCAGCTGTTGCATCATCTCTACACCAAGGTTAGCTGACTTGATAAATGCAGAGAAACAACACACGTCATTCCACTCCCTGGAGATCAAAGCCGCCTCCAGGTTTTATTAAAACTACTACTTTGTTAGTCTCTTTTACTATTTGTTTGCGGTTATGCAAGTCTTCTCACCTGTCAGAGCCCTCAATGTCACCGAATGACGGGGAGCCCAGGAGCTCAGGCTGGCTGCTATCCCTCCCCGGTGAGGCTGACAGGCTGCCGCCTGGAGAGCTCCTCCATGTCTCCTTGAAGTGGCGACAACACGGCTGCTGAACGGGCCGGGACAAACTGAAGTTCCCAGCAAGCGTGTAGTCAGCCGGCTAGCGGGGCACGCCATGTTTTTCGGCACTACCGCTGTTCGTTAGTAGAAGTGCGCATGCTCAAGAGGGGTAAAGCGGAAATGGCCTTTCAAAATAAAAATAAATAGAAAATAAAAAGTTATAATAAATAAAATGAGATTAAATAAATCAGTTTGTACGTAAGCCTAATTCAAAATGTAACAAGTTTTATCATAAACCGTTTTCATGGCAGTTTGAACGTTTCAGTTCTGGCAAGGAATATACCAGGAGTGAGGTTGTAATTCACTGTTTTTTTTTGTTTTTTTGTTTTTTTGTGGGGTTAAATTTTCTTCAGCGTTGTTTTTTATGTATATATTTTTGGGATTTTTTTTCACATTTTTTTTTACCATTTGTGTCCAATGGATAAACATTGTGAGACACGGAACGGACACTAGATGGCAGTATTGAGCTGAGCGATGATTTCATCAATTCCTGCTGTCAATAATAATAGAATAGAATAGAATAGATTTACTTTATTTATCCCAAGCTGGGAAATTGTAGTGTAGCAGCAGCTTTACACATAGTGACAGTCACAACACAATAAGATAAAGAAAAAGTAAAAAAAATCACATAACATCCACACGTATTTACATTATAAAAGTACAGTGAACAGTCCTAAGGTGCAGTGAACAAATTATAAATAATGTATTAAAAACATGAAGTGCAGTACAGTACAGTGCTGGTTACTATATGCTGAAACAAGAGGTTATTTTTTATTGTACAATGTGATGGCATATGGCAGGAAAGATTTCCTGTATCTGTCCCTTCGACAGCGGAGCTGGAGCAGCCTGTGAGAAAAGGTGCTCCGCTGTCTGACCACTGTGTGGTGGAGAGGGTGCTGATCATTGTCAATGATGGATAAGAGTTTATTCAGCGTTCTCCTCTCCACCACAGTCTCAAAAGACTCCAGCCTGAGTCCAAGTACAGAACCAGCACTTCTGATGATTCCATCATTGGATCATCATCATGAATCCATCATTGGATACACGAGCACAGTTTAACCAACAATGGTTTATGTGTTGACCTATGTGAATGTTCAAGACTCCTGGCAAAGTTGGTAACATGTGCCAGGGGTGGAGCTAGATGGGGGACCAGGGGTGGCCATGGCCACCCTCAGCCAATTATTGGCCACCCCTACCATTTTTTCCCTCTAATACAGATGGTGGCAGCAGTAATACTCTCAAGTGGAATATTCCAACCATTTTTCATGTATTAACAATTACTTGACAACAACAACAAAAAAAACTGTGGTTAATTATGCACATCAATATTAAAGATACATTAAAGATAATAGGTGCAGAATGCCTGCTCTTCAGAAATAGATTTTGTTTTATTCGGTAAAGAGAAAATGTCTCTACAAGTCACTTAGAGGTCTTCAGTGAAATTATAGATACATAACTGTTTTAGTAAAAACTTAATAAATAATCAATTTATTTAGATATTTGTTTTTGTAAATATCAATTTTTTGCAGAATAATTACTGATAAAACTAGGTAAGTAATGACAATGGAAAAGATGTTCACCCAAAACTCAAACCTGAAAGAATTTTCTCCACTAACGAGTCTGTGGGAAAGTATAATTTGTCTTTATTAGGAAAATATGGATGTTTTGCTTGTTAATTTTCCTGTTGGCACAGAGTAGATTGACCCTGAGGTTTTGGTACCTATCTACTTTCGGCCACCCCTCAGTTTACATTAATTATTGCCTGGCCACCCTTATAAACATTTTCTGGCTATGCCTCTGGCATGTACGCATTAAAAAGATGTTATGGCGTGGTTGTGACTGTCACCATTTTTTAATTAAACAAATTAAATAATTTTTTTTTCTAACAGTTAGCCTAAAAACATGAAGTATAGAGTAAGTAAGTAAGAGGTATAAGAATGTAGAAATTCAAGTTTAGAGTTTAAGGAACATTTAAGAAAAGTCTCTTTGAGCAAATGTTCACAAGAAAAAAAAACATTCATTGAAAGTAAATGTGCAGTCATGCCTTCCTTTTGAATAATTTTAAGACAATCCTTAAAATATTACATTAACTTCTTCGCAGAAAAAAAATTACATAACAATATAAGAGGTCATTTCTTAGATGAAAGTGGGGAAAGACAGCATTTCATTTCATGTGTCAGGTGGTCTTGATGTCAGACAAAAGCTGAGAAGAAAAGATTAAAGCTGTCATTCCAAACATATAATATAGATTTGTCATATGATGGAAAATTTTAATAAAGGGGTTAAATAGATTCATCCCTCTCTCTCTGTGTCTGTATGTCTTGCTTCATGCCTTGCTTCCCTCATTTCCCCAAAGCAAACTTCAGAAGCGCATCCATCTGTATAGGTCAATTTGAAATGTGGCCCTTATGAAAAAAATAATAATAATACACCTAATAAAAACTGTTCAGCTAAAATCAACCTCATCAATTTTTTTAAGGCAACAGAGCAAAATGAGTATTTTAACTTGCTTTGGATGTTTTCTCATTCTCTTTTTACAAAAAAAGTCAACTGCTCAGGAGCTTTGTAGGTAAAAGCTCCAGATTTCTTTAACTTTTTAAACATAGATTTTTTTACAGGTAATTATACTGCAGTAAAATAACTAAATTTAGATTTATTTTCAGACTGATGAGGATTAACACGATTGGCGGTACAGGACTGGCCCACGTTGAAAAATGGTTTAGAGGCTTTCTATGACAAATCTAAGTGAAATGCTATGAAACAGGAAGTTGTGATTTAGTGCAATAGAATCGTTCGGGGGAGTGGTGGCCTAATGGTTGTGCTTGTGTTCCGGAGGTTCTTAGTTCAAGACCCACACACTCCCACTGACTGCCACACTGAGTTTCTGAGCAATACCCTTAACCCACACTGCTCCCTGGGCGCCGCACAATGGCTGCCAAATACTTCCCAAGGAGATGGTTAAATGCAGAGAGTTCATTTTGTTGCTTAGTACTTGTGACAGTGTAACGACATAAAGTTGAAGTTCTTATTTTTAGCAGAATTTTAAGGGCTAAAAATGGGTATTACGCTAATGATTTTGTAAATGGCATTTATTTTAAGACCTTTTTTTTACACATTTTTCCCAGGGGAAGCAATGCTTTTAAAGGGGCCCTGTGTTTATAGATTTGAAACTGTGGTCAAAGAATCACAAGATTTGCCTCTAATGAGGACCACACTACCACACAGCCACTGTGATATCCATAAATATGTCACAAATAAGTATCAACAAATAAAAGAGAACACATACTTTCTTGTACTTTTTAAGGTTTTTTTGTGCACGTATACCCATGTGACAACAATAAAGTCATCCCGCAGACAGTGGAAACTGAACATCTTACATTCAGAAACACACAGCTGGTGATGTAGCTGCAGGGCAGAGCACATATCATCAGTGAGAGGGAGCAAATGTCAAACCATGTCCAGTAAGATGCTCCACACTCCTCTCTGTTGTGGAGATCGTCTAACTGTTATGGCAACAGAATGAGCTACTGTACAACTCAACACTCTCTTTGAATTACCGCTTTCATGTGTCTTATTTGCATCTGCAGTGTCAACTCATTTTTATGGAGAGAAATGCTGAATGT